ATGAACAAATAGATATTTCTTTAAAAGAAAAGCCATTACCATGAATCTTTATTAAACAGGAAAAATACTTTGAAAATTAAATTCAGGACCTTAGTATGATTTTAAAAAGATATCTAGATTTATTTCTGTCATAAAGCACCACGATTGATTTTCTAGACTTAACAAATGAGCAATTCATTCATGTCATTAGATCTATAAGTTTATCTCCAAAATTGTTATCTTAATTGATGAAAAGCATTTTTGCAGGTTTTTTTTTAAACATTCAAAAGTAAATTAATATGGAAGTGAAAATTACAAAAAACACATCTTGGTTGCATTTAATAGCAAGTCATAATTCTAAAATCAGTCTTGAGACCAAAACTTTAACACAACTGCGTTTTAAAGAAAACGTCCAGACATTTAATTCCTATGCTTTGACTCCTTCAATATCTTTTTTTTAAAAATAACATATTGCAGATTAAAACGGTGCATTTCATTGTATTTTTTCACTCTTATGAGGAGAATGAATTTTATTGAAGTCTAAAGTCTTTGACTACAAATAAAATTCTTCATTGAAACGGTTTAAGTTAGCTCTAGAAATAGTCTCACTCTCACTTGCTAAGGATTCACTGAGGACAATCCTGGCCTTATCTTTAAAACAAGAAAACTTCAGACTGTTTTGATTTTAGAACATCATACCCAGAACGTATATAGCGGGGTATTGATGGATCATTTCTTAAAATATCACTCTATGTATGGAAAGGCAAAATCTGTAAACAATTTAATGGCTCATAAGCTTCGGCTTTTGCAAATTTACAAAGTTCCTATTCGGGAAAACATCTAAATATTCCCAGTTCGTTTTGCTTCATACTTGAATGATCTTGATGATTTCGCTTCAAGAAAATTTGCATTTTGCATTTTTTTTTATTTCAGTGCAACAGACGACAATTAGCTTGCTATTAGGACGATAAATATTTCCTGCAATTTTCTTTAACTATAGGTTAATTTCATAATAAAACATGACTACAAAGTTTAGAAAAGTACAGCACTCACCTATTACATATCACCAGGCGTATAGGCTTCCTCCCCATCTCTACAAGACTACTAGCAGGTGTTACCATCAACGTTGAACCCAGACAGAACACATTATCCGCCTTCTTTGCATTTTCCTCTGCACTGTTTAATATCGGACTCTCCAGGTAATCCCAAAAGTTAATGATTGTGTTCATCATATAACCGACCTGTTTTAACTTTACCTCCTTTAGCACCTGAATTTGTAACATCAAATATAATTTAGGCACACTATGTCTTAGAAAACCATATTGTTTTACTCTTACTTTAGAAATGTAAAACAATATGTTTTATCATGTTTAAATAATGAATAAAGTTGGTGTAAGATGTGTTTACAACTGACAATGTAGCGCTGAACATGCAGGGTTCAAAAAGTTTTTGAGAAATAGAAATGATAACAATTCCGAGACATAATAGGCATTTAATACCTTTATTGATGTTTCGTAACAAATAATTATCATTACAAAAACCCCCTCAAAACTAATTTTTTATTATTGAATTTTACTTATTATAATTTGTTTTGATATGCCAGAGTAATTCTTAATATTATGTTAATAGCAAACGCATTTTTATTGTAACTATGGTTTCATTTGTAGATAAGAAACTCACTACATTCAATGTAATTTTCCGTATGAAATTTCATAAAGTTTTTACATTTATCATTATCATTTAAACAAAATATTCAATAACGTTAATTCAATATGTTAGATATACATTTATTTTATGCTTTTCAGTGGATTACTGATTTATCCGTGAAAATTATATTTGATAATTTCACAGTGAAAATTATCAAAATATAATTTCACACTTTTCAATGACGAAACTACTTTTTTTAAGATTTTCATACTTTTCCAAACAAACTGTATATATGGATCGTTTAAATCTAATTTAACAAACTTATTGAGGTTCTGAAATTTTAAAAAAGTTCTTTTATTGTTAACCTCTCTAAATATGTATGAAATATCAATAACATCGCAACTTTGTGCTATATTAAAGAATATACTTTTACAATATGGTGTCAAATCTGCGTTTGAAGGTCCATTATGTCTCTTTTTTATTATTCTAAAACGTTCCTTATTTGGGTATCCTGGTACAATTTTATACCATACTCATTTGCCATATAAATGAACTTTTACTTGTTTTGCTCTATCATGTCTATTGGGTATAATCATTTTGTATAGAAGCCACTCTGTACCTTTAAGATACGTTGCTGTACATTCAGCGCAAATTCCATTAGTTGCTTAACATCTAATGTGCTCTAAATCAATTATTGAAACATAATTAAACACATGTTTGACATTTCTTAAGGATTACAACATATGGTTTTGTGAGGCACAATATGCCTTTAATGTCATCTGCAGTAAGTCTACATCGTTTTACATGTCCTGTATTTTTTCTTTATCACAACGTATCTTTGCAATTTAACTTTTTCACCCTTATTCGGAGAGTCAGAAATACATACACAGCTGCCCAAATGCTTAGTTCCGGGTAAAAACCCAAAAATATATCTCATTTCCTACACACAAACAAGAAAGAATTACAATGACAGAGAAATATCAGAAGTTATCAGTACCTTCAAAACACCATGTCTGAGTTATTAAAAAATTTGACCGGGGCCATCATTCGTATATGTCCCCTGCCCCCTTAATGTTTGGTCGTCAGACCAAACAAATAATGGTAGCGAAATTTCAGACTCTGATGCTGTTAATTGCAAATGCCGAAAGTAGTCCGCTTTTTTGAAGCGGTTACTTCCCTTTATATGTACACTAACGCCGAAAAATTCAGGGGAGATCAGCGTAGAGATTGTCAATTGACAGGCGCATTAATTTTCAAGCAAAATAGTTCCCGAATGGTCGAAGATTTCTAATATTGTTTTATTCTTTATAAACATGGTTATTGCAATCTCCATGATTATTTACATCTGTGTTAAACAACAGGTTTAGTGTCGAAATAATAAGAATTACAAACCCTAATTTAGAATAATATGGTTTTCTTCGGGCACTTTATATATAACTTCACCCTGGTCGAGGGGTTTGCACGCTCGCTTAGGAATCGAGAGGTCTGGAGTTCAAATCCCAGTTGAGGCAACTCATTTTTGTTTAATTGTTTATAATAAGTCAAATAAACATTGAATTGAATAACAGTTTTGTAATTAGTCTCATAGCCAATTTACTACAGTTTAAACACTGGAAAGCATTGGTGGCACTATACAAAAACAAATTGGTTTATAATCTCACAACCTTTCTGACATTCTGAGACCCAAACATATTCAGCGTCTTCTGTGCTTTGATTTTATTGTTGTTTCTTTTTCAATTTTTGTTTTGAGTTAATTTCCACATAAAATTTTAGCTTAAAAACTTATAAAACGTAACACGTTTATAATATCTGATACTATGGATATTATAAATAATTTCCTACTTGTCTATACACCCACTCCAAGGTTGTTTTTTACTATATTTCATACAGGAATTCCATAAGATTGCCACTGTTGATATTAACACCCCAACACACAATTGTCAAATTAACACTTACTAACATCATGCCGTTAATGTATGTTTAATTAGCTACGTACAGACATTTTCAATGATCGAATGGCAGATATTTCCAATCACAAGTCTATTGTGCGAGTTAGCAAGTTCATAAACTGATAAATCAGAAATTTACGATTATACTTTCAATCTTCATTTTATTCTAATTGAACTGAATGAAAAACTATATCTAATTATTTCCAATGTGTTTTCAAATGAAAAAGTGAAACATGCAGAGGACATTTTCCTCTCACTTTTGCCCTTGAAGATCTGTGCTAATTCTCAGACAGAATATAACAAAAAATGTCTAAATTAAACGAAAATTTGAATAAATACATTATGCAGTCTGATCAGGATGCATGCTGTTCGCTTACCAACCCTATTACAAGTAGAGAAACTGATAGCGAACAGCATGGATCCTGATCAGACTGCGCGGATGCACAGGAAGGTCTGGATCCATGCTGGTCGCAAACCCATTATGTTGGTTTTGTCATGACGCGGCTCAAATATCATAAAGGGCCTGCTTTTGTGATTTCAAACATATAAACGGTAAAATCAAGTGGGCGGGCCACCCGGCCAATCAATCATTAAATACTGAAGATTTCTGATAAAATGAATTATGTATTTCAAGTTATATTTAATTGGCAAAATTCAGGCCTTTTGCAAACGCTTTTTGAACAGCAATGTAGGATATCAAATTTGTGATGTCTTCAGACATTTCATTTGTAATGACAACAGGCGGCACCGCTTGATAAGACGCCCTGGATATCTCGATGTTAATAACATAAAAATACAGTATGTTCAAGCAAGTGTGTATTAACTTGTTATGTTTCATTTGTACAAGCAGAAAGGTATTGATTAAAATGTAACATCCACTGTTGATTAATTTCATTTTATCAATAAGTGGTAAATATCGCTTTTTTCAGTGTTAAAGTAATACTTATTGTTTAAATATAAATAAAAAAAAATCCTAATATACATGGCCTTAGCACATACTTATACCTCACAAAATTTGCAGTAACAAAAATATTTTCACAATTCACTGTAATATTTCCAGATGAACAGGGTATTAAAATAAGTGTTGTTGAAATATATTTAATATCAAAATGTGTGTCTTTCCTGGAAAAATGTAGAACCTTAGAAACAAAGAACCAAAACTTGCGAACATATTTCTCAATAAGTTTGTTGAGTTAGTATATACGATTTTAGTTGGACTGTGTTGGAAGCTTTAAGCCTCTTGAAACACTCTCGAATCCATTCATGGAACCAACCAGTATTAGCAATGAGTGTAATGTTTCTAGCTCATGAAATCCACGCAGCCAGCAATCCTTAGATTAATCATCATCATCGTCGTTCCATCAACGTAAATTAGATGTCATTTCCTTAAGGACAAAATAACAAAGAAACAAAAAGAACAGAAAACTAGTTAAAGCAAGTTTAATAAGTGAACATAATGATTATATTGCGAAAACTAGCGAAATAACAAAAAAAAACCAGATCAAAACAAGAAAATGTGTACATGTATATCGCAGTTAATCATATTAAAATCACAATTGTATAATTCTTTAAATATTTACAGTTCAGTTGTTAGAAAAAGAACATTTTATCGAATACTTTTAACATATTCATAACTAGAAAACATAGCCGGCATCTCCAGAATAATCCTTGCTGTTCACTTTATGTAGTGACATGATAAAATCTACCCTTTCTGTTCTAACATATCATTTGTACCGTTTTTAGGATAATAAATCATTCTCCTACCTTTAAAACATTAAACTTGTACCTTAATAAGATCGCGTCATAAGCTCTTTCATTTTAAATCTGATTGAAAAATCTATAAACCTGTATACAGTCATGAAGGTTTGCAATAAATGATAAACAAGTCCGCTATCAGATTCTGCATATTGCACTTGGAACTAAAATAGTTCAAGCTCATGATTAAGAACTTCACCATGATGTGCAGCAATTACCTTTACAACCTTACCCGAGAACAAACTTCTAAAAAATGTACCACAATTGAAGTTATATAGTGCTATATAGAGATATATAGAATTTTATCACAAAGAAAGATCAAGAGAAATAACTGCACGTTTTAAGTACACCTGACATTAGATGAAATAAAAATCATTAGTAGCATATGTTACTATATTGCACACGTTTATCTCCGATGAAAGAAATGTACTACAAAACACTTATATTGCAATTAAAAAAATGATGAAAATAGCTGTGAACATTTAATTGCTCTATTACACTGCTGTCAGGTATATACTGCTAGAACCATGTAAGAATTATGGCGCTATACACAAAGACTTTTGTTATTTACATGTTACACAAAGCATAACAATTCCTGTTATCATTATATTACCTGTGGTTGTAATTTTGTAAAATTTCCTGGTTCATTTTGGTATTCTTTTGATTTGAGTAAAAAATGTTCTTAATTTCATTTCAGTTGGAAAAATGTGTATTACAAGACAAAATTCTAGCCGTAATTAGTTATTTACTGTCTCTTTTGATCATATTCTAACATCCGGGTATCTCTTGCAGCTTCCCACTTTTTCAACTCATCTTCTGTGAGAACTTTACGCATCACCGCTTTCATAAGTTTATCGATGTCACCGTGTATTCTACTTCCGCATGGATCACCGTTTTCATCCGGGTGATTGCAGTATTCTTCATATTGCGTTCCTTGTCTAAAATGTATTAAATTGTGAATATATTTATTTACTCTTTGTTTATGACAACACATCTAAGTCAATGTAAATGAAAATTACATGAACAAATTGATATTTCTTTAAAAGAAAAGCCATTACCATGAATCTTTATAAAACAGGAAAAAATACTTTAAAAATTAAATTCAGGACCTTTGTATGATTTTAAAAAGATATCTAGATTTATTTCTGTCATAAAGCACCAGGATTGATTTTCTAGACTAAACAAATGAGCAATTCATTAGATCTATAAGTGTATCTCCAAAATTGTTATCTTAATTGACGAAAAGCATTTTTGCAGTTTTTTTTAAATATTCAAAAGTAAATTAATATGGAAGTGAACATTACAAAAAAAACATCTTGGTTGCATTTAATAGCAAGTCATAATTCTAAAACCAGTTTTGAGACCAAAACTTAAACACAACTGCGTTTCAAAGAAAACGTCCAGACATAAAATTCCTACGCTTTGTCTTCTTCAATATCTTTTTTTAAAAATAACATATTGCAGATTAAAGCCGTGCATTTCATTGTATTTTTTCACTCTTCTGAGGAGAATGAATTTTATTGAAGTCTAAAGTCTTTGACTACAAAGAAAATTCTTCATTGAAACGGTTTAAGTTAGCTCTAGAACTGGTCTCGCTTGGTAAGGATTCACTGAGGACAATCATGGCCTTATCTTCACAACAAGAAAAATTTAAGACTGTTTTAATTTAAAAAAAAACATTGAACAGCATTATACCCAGAAACGTATATAGCGGGGTATTGATGGATCATTTCTTAAAATATCACTCTATGTATGGAATGGCAAAATCTGTATACAATTTAATGGCTCATTACCTTCGGCTTTTGCAAATTTACAAAGTTCCTATTCGGGAAAACATCTAAATATTCCCAGTTCGTTTTGCTTCATACTTGAATGATCTTGATGATTTCGCTTCAAGAAAATTTGCATTTTGCATGTGTTTCTTATTTCAGTGCAACAGACGACAATAAGCTAGCTGACAGGACGATAATATTTCCTGCAATTTTCTATTACTATAGGTTAATTTCATAATAAAACATAACTACCAAGTTCAGAAAAGTACAGCGCTCACCTATTACATATCACCAGGCGTATAGGCTTCCTCCCCATCTCTACAAGGCTACTAGCAGGTGTTACCATCAATGTTGATCCCAGACAGAACACTATATCCGCCTTCTTTGCATTTTCCTCTGCGCTCTTTAATATCGGACTCTCCAGGTAATCCCCAAAGTTAATGATTGTGTTCATCATATAACCACCACATGACTAAAACGGGAAATTAATGATATATTCCGGTAAATAACTTTTTTTTTCTTAAGCGTGTCATACTTGATTGCTAAAAAGTATGATTGTGTCAAAAAATAACGAAATATGAAACATTTGGAATCGTATTAAAGCATGAGTTAGCATTCGCAATCGGTTGCATTTTCAAAATATGAGGAGTAAAAACGCTATAATACATGTTTATGACATCATAGTGATGTGTCATCACTTTCAATATTTAAATAAAACCAGTACAAACCTTGTCTTGACATATCATCCCAGTTCTATGACTGATATGACATCGCTCACATTTCTTTGGTGGAACTTTCATGACCTCACCCATGGTAAGCGCTCTGTGACTTCTATTTACATCAAAACGCTTTTCACATTTTTCACATTTTTGTATGAAAGCATTACCATGGAGCTCAGAAATCTTTTCCGGAGGAACACCAGACAGACGATGTATTCCGTCAGTGTTTTGACTTATAACGTACTTAAAAAGTCCCATTTCTAACAGTTTAACAATGGCCTCGTGTGTATATGTGGGTCGTAACTCCATTATTCCTTTCCGACCTGTCTTTACTTTACCCCCTTTAGCACCTGAATTTGTAACATCAAATATAATTTAGGCACATTATGCCTTAGAAATCCATATTGTTTTACTCTTACTTTAGATATGTAAAACAATATGTTTAATCATGTTTAAATAATAGATAAAGTTGGTGTAAGATGTGTTTACAACTGAAAATGTAGCGGGTTCAAAAAGTTTTTGAGAAATAGAAATGATAACAATTCCGAGACATAATGGCCATTTAATACCTTTATCGATGTTTCGTAACAAATAATTATCCTTACAAAAAAACCCTCAAAACTAATTTTTTTATTATTGAATTTTGCTTAATGTGTTTTGATATGATGCCCGAGTAATTCTTAATATTATATTAATAGCAAACGCATTTTTTGTAACTATGGTTTCATTTGTAGATAAGAAACTCACTACTTTCCATGTATTTTTTCCGTATGAAACTAAATAAAGTTTTTACATTTATCATTATCATTTAAACAAAATATTCAATAACGTAAATTCAATATGTTAGATATACATGTATGCTTGGATTTTAAGTGGTGCTGACCCTAAAGCTCAACCGTTTACGGGGATCTGATTTCATTCATTTCGCGTACATACCGTGTTCTTTGGCTTTGTCTCTTTCAGTCCATTTACCATCTTTCCCGCGGAAATCTCCTATGCCTGCAGCTGTTGATATTCCTGCGCCTGTCAAACATACAAATGTCATGTTAGCCGATGTTCCTTTATACTTTAACAGAAATCATCATGACTCCACGCAATTATATAAGATGATAAAATATCAGATAATTAGACTTAAGATAAGTCCTTCAGTTTAAGTCAGATATATAGGGAAATATTCTCAATTAGAAGACTTATCAAATGCATTAAATGATAAAAGCAAAATTTACATTAAAGACACAAATCCTCTTGCAATGTACAAGATAATTTGAGATAATTTCTATGTAATTAAGAAGAAGTATGGTGGAAATCAATATTAAAAAGTATAATTATATAATGTATTGCACTTTTCAGTACCTGTAAAGAATATAGGGTATTTTGCTTTCTTCAGCATTGTAACAATGCGATCCGCTTCCTTTGCTATAAAAGAATCAGAATCATGATATTCAGCCGTCTTCTTTGCTTCTTTCACTAACTTCACCTCGAGTTCACTAAGGCTTTTATCAGGCGAAGATGTTTTGGAAGCCGTAACAAGATCACGCCAACATTGTTGATGAAATACTGCATCACCATTCCCATCCCAGTCAGCCTAATTACAAGAATACATGTATTATATCAAAACTATTCTTATATATTTATCTAGCAGAATAACGCTTTATATCTAATTTTGTTGAAAACATCAGTTTAAAAAGATCAATAATGAATTTAGAGCTATAAGTGTTTGTGGATTTATCAAGGAAGAAATAATTTTAGAAATCAACGGTAGAACTGATTTACTGGACTGATCTGTTGACAGATTTTACACTATGGTAAGCAATATGATTTGTGATGCATGCCTTGAAAAACAGTGTGGCCTATTATGCTAATTAAGATCTTTTGGTTGGGTTTTACGTCGCACCACTAACAATAACAAGGTCATATGGCGACTTTCCAGCTGTATTGATGGAAGACCTCGGGTGCCACTCCGTGCATTATTTCAGGCAGGAACTGGCACCTGAGTAGAACCATCGACTTTCCGTAATCTAACTGAATAGCTTCCTCACTTGAAAGAATCCAAGTCCTTTGTGGTAATTGAACCCATAGCGAATAGAGGCAAGTGCTTTGAGCCCACAACCTTGACACCACTCGGCCACAGAGTCGTTTGCTTTTTAACATGATGTTATTCATGGAAAATGTGCTGTATGTTTAATCATGTATTGATTTATAATTTATACGGTAATGGACGTTTGCACATGTTTTACTGTAAAGGGGGGTAATTTTTAAGTCTGCATTACCCTACACTGTCTATATACTCTCCCTCCTTCAGCATAAAAAAGTAACAAGAAGAAAAGAAAGGAAGAAAGAAAAATAGAAAGAAAGAAAAACATAATGTAAACGGTTAAGAAAACTCGTGTATTATTTTACATTGATAAGTAATATAACATTTAAAAATCAATATATAATGTCAGAAGAGTTGAATTCAGGTGAAGCGAAAGCAAAAAGCTTTATAAAGAGACCGTTTAATCAAGTAAACATAATTATACTGATCGGTTTACTAATTTATAGAAACAATCATGGAGTCTTTATTTTAATATATTCATAATCTATAGCAATAATAAAACTTTGTGTAGATAAAATAAATCCCACATTTTCAAGTTATGTTGAAAATTTGTAATTTGTTTCATTTCCGTTATTTAATTATTTGTTTTCCTTTTCTTTTTACTCATGTACTTAGATATAAATTCCTTGTTACATTTTCCATTGTTAACATAATCGGGAAATAAATATTTCACAATAATTATGTGTTAAAGCTGCACAACTTGAGAAAGCCAAAATTTTTCAAAAAAGTCAATCTTGAGAAAAATATATCAAGATTTTAAGAAAAGAAAACATATTTTCAATTGAGAAATAATTTACATGTTACATTGTATTATGCAATTAATGACTGATTTTGCTGTATCACCATATTCACATAGTCACGCAGTAGGCCTATGGGCTATTTTTACATACCTATTTTTGTTAATTTTTGTTGATTGCAATGTGTAAATAACTTTCTTTTTTAACTTGACGGTATTTTTTTGGAACATTTAAAAGCAAATTGTGAAAATAAACATGAATCTGGAGGCATGCTGATTTAATGTCCATGAAATGATTCATTTATACGATAGATTACATAGGTATATTCAAATTGTTTGTTTGTTTTACGTCTTTTTCCAACAATATTTCAGTCATATAGGCGGGTAGTTTCCTAACCATCGTTCCTGGAGAGTTACACCAGTACAAGACTACCTTCCTCCGTGCTAAACTACCAAAACATCTCCCGGGGATCGAACCCACGCCAAAAAGGTACCTGGCTTAGAAGTTATCGACTCTAAGCCCTCGACCACGGAGGCGGTGCATATTCAAAAGATTATCTTATACTGTATACCTAAAAAATGTATTATTGTATAAAATATCTTTATGTGTTATCTGTTTGTACTATCTCATATTTCTTTTTGCATTATCGCATAATTTTTGTATTATTTTTCTGTATTTTCGCATATTTCTTGATGTATTACCGCATAATATATCACGGTATATTTATGTATTATATCTTTGTTTTGTTTCATATTATTTCTTTTTATCCCTGTAATTGTGCAATTGCTACCAGATAGACCATGACATCACATATGTATACAACAAGTACGGTGAAAATCTTATTCATCGTGACTATTTACGTACACATATTGGCGTATATACAAAGAAGGCGTCTCCCTATATAAAATAATGATTCATACCTGATCAGCTTAAATGCAAGACAGATTTTATGCATATTCATCTAGTAGCTCTAATACGTAGTTATATTTACTTTCATCATATGTATTTAATATTTAATTGATATGTATTTTCCGTTTCGCAATTAGCAATGAAAGATGAAATTAATTATTAAACAACTGTTATATATTTGAGCCGCGTCACGACAAAACCAACACAATGGGTTTGCGACCAGCATGAATCCAGACCAGCCTGCGCATCCGCGCAGTCTGATCAGGATCTATGCTGTTCGCTATTGATCAGTTTCTCTACTTGTTATAGGGTTGGTAAGCGAACAGCATGGATCCTGATCAGAGTGCGCAGATGCGCAGGCTGATCTGGATCCATGCTGTTCGCAAAACCATTATGTTAGTTTTGTCGTGATGCTTCTCATTTTATTCTAAATAAAAATGTTATACAAACAATAGTTACATTTTAGGTATCAATAGTTTTAAAACATAATTGTTATTGAAGATTTCATCAAATAACAAACAGAACGGTAAGGTATTCACCAGGGTGAATATACATATAAATATATAGCGATAAGCTAGATGTTTTTTACCTTTAAACCTTTTCTTTCTGAATCTGTGACTTTAAATGCTCGCACCTCTACCCTACCGGTCTCTGCAGTCACAGAACCTTTACATGACTTTAGTGAACACGATGTCATATTTCTCGAATTGAGTTTTTATCAATTTATCTGTTAAAGAACAAAAAGCTAACTTATTGAACTGAAAAGACTTATTATTGTATTAACTTAAAGTCAAAATGTACATACAAAGTTAAATTATTAAAATACAACATATGTGTTACTGTCTTATCATATATTTAAATCATTTCACAGTCCATACCTCGTATACTAGTATTTGTTAAAGAAAATAGCTGACTGTATACGTAATCCTATGAAAACCTACGAAGACCTGTGGAATATTAGTTAGTGAAGCCGATACTTTCCTATCAAAAAAGAATAAAACTTATAAAGCAACACTTACCTTTTTTAACAGCCGTATAGTTGTTTATACTAAGCCTCACAATAATTTCTACCCACTATATATATGTGTGACTGTACTATAACATTAAAGTCATGGTTAAATATAGATTATATTGCAATATTTGTGATTAATAAAAATACCCCTATCTGTAATCGATGAACACCGAAATAAGACGAATTCAACCGACAATGTCTAAACATCAATAGCGGAAATACACGAAGTATAATGTTTTGTCACAGGTCGGTGTATCCAAGGTACACAATGTTTATAAATAGATCTAAATACGTCAAATAAATCGGAGACGCGTAACGCGGACAGTGTTATATTAATATCAACAAATACATAGATTTAAAGCTATTTTAAGTGACAAAAGAAAACGATTTCAGCATAAATGGTTGAAATGTAAACAACTTTAAATATTTGAAAATCATTTTTGGTGAGTAAATATTTATGCATTATTTATCCAAATGCCGACTTATTGACAGAGCAAGTGATAAAACTATTGTCAGGGCCGAGTGAATGTTTTTTTGTTTTTGTTTATTTTTTTTTGTTTATTTATCTTTTTTTATAAAAGAAGCATTTAAAATTAATAATTTTCGATTTCAAATAACGGAGATAAAATTTGAAACAAATATCGCTGCCCGACCCCGAATTCATCATCCAACTAAATGTGTGCAAGTTGCTCTTATTGGTCTTAGTACAAACAATATTTTATTTCATTAACAGCATACATTTAAAAAATAAATTAAAACTCTAGAGAGAAATTGTTTATAAAGGCAGAAATCAGTTAAATCTTAGAATACAAGTTATCGATCAAGGTTTTGGGTGGAACTGAGGCAAATAATTGGTATAGTGAATTAACTCGATGAAATCTATAACAAACCAGTGCAAGATATACAATACTTGAGAGAGAAACATCCATTGCAAGCTATACAAAATAGAGCACTTTGATTTTAAACATATTCATTTTATTGAAATATCATCTTTGACCAGACATTAAATGACAACAATATTAAATGAACAAACAGTTTAAATATTTTCTTTTTAAAGATCTGCTCTACAATAATTTTCAAAAATATTATCGTTTACCCGTTGGTGAAAATGACTTTGAAGGGTCATAATTAAAAATAGTAACTGTTTTAAGTGTCCTTTATATACTGTTTCGCGTGTTTCACATCACATCTTATTTCTTGATAAGATTTAAAAGACTGATTTGTTGTTCTACTTAAATGATTGTTTTATCAATTACCTAAAAGTAACGACATATAGATATTGTCTATTTTTAAAAAAAATGCCTGAAATATCTTAAAGCTATCAAGAACAATCAAGCAAAGCATACTGCTGATTGGACACTGTCTGCGATGTACATTTGTTAGAGATCGTTATTTAAATGTAATGCCATCTTTTGAAATACTTCTCCTAAATTAAACGTTTTCCCGCGAGTGCATGTTGACAGAATCAATTGTTCTCACTTCATATTATCAATCTCACAATGAGCCGCGTCACGACAAAACCAACATAATGGGTTTGCGACCAGCATGGATCCAGACCAGCCTGCGCATCCGCGCAGTCTGATCAGGATCCATGCTGTTGCTATCAGTTTCTTTACTTGTTATAGGGTCTGTAAGCGAACAGCATTGATCCTGATCAGATTGCGCGGATGCGCAGGCCGAACTGGATCCATGCTGGTCGCAAACGCACTATGTTGGTTTTGTCGTCACGCGGCTCAAATGTTTTAGCTACTCTTGTAACTTATGAATATTCATGGACTGTCTGGAACAAGATGGCATTTAGTTAACAAGTTACCACTGAAGTAATGTCTGCGAGTTTCACAAACACGCTTATTGTATTTTTTTAGTTTTTCTCAGAACTTTTAAATTATTAAAAAAAGTAAACAGTTTTCTTTTTAACTTGTTGAGTTCGAAGGCTTTCCCATAATTCCGTGAAATTTCTTTTATGGACAGTTGCTCTTTAACCCATTTAACTTCATGAGCATTTTGTGAAAAATGGCTGTTTTCATTGAAAAGTCTCCCGTTACAAGTTCAAATTGCTATAATACTATAAAAACTGCTTCAATACTAAATCAAACTTGGCACAAATGTTGACTGGACCATTGCCCTTGCAACAACATGATCAGGCTTAAATTTTCTGTTACCATGGCAACGAGGGGAAATCTCAAAATTGCCAAAAATCACTATTTTGCGTTGATTTGTTCCCATCAAAATTGATTTCAAAGTGCTGCAACTTCCCAATGGATTGAGATAGAGTCAAATGCTTTTCAGCGTGGGTTACACGTTACCTTATGATCAATCTGGGGTCATTTACAGCCTCTCACAAGTCCAAAATTTTCTTGGCGATGAGGGGGACTCCGCCCCCTTCAAACCCCCCAAACAGAAAGGGGCACACCCCCCCTTCTGGCAACCCCCTGATGTATCTTTTGGTTGGGGGGCCGCGCCGAAAAAGAGGTCACTTTTTTTAACAACATTTCTCAAAAAAAAAGCAAGTGTTGGGGGCCTAAATAAGGCATTTTTTTCATCATTGGAGACAACAAAAAGAGGGGGGGTGAAAGAGGCGTTAAAAGGCGTGTATATGAAGTAATGGGTTAAAGCATGTTTCTTGAAACATCACATACATCATCGAACACAAAATTAACAATTATAAAATCCACTTACTTTAAAATTCTTACTTTTAAAGACATAAGTTTGAATTCCTGGCGCACGTGCTAATTTACTAGTGCATGAATATGTCCTTCAGAGTTCAAATGAAATGAAGCTGTGAACAAAATTTAAAGATTAGTAATTAATTCTTTCTCGATAGCATTGATATAAGACTGAGCTTTCAATTTAATGATTTTTCCCTATACATTGTAATTGTGTTACATATGACAGATATTATTAGTCTCTGTTAATTTAACACACTTACATATGACAGATATTATTAGTCTCTGTTAATTTAACACACATGAATATATTACGTAAACAGAATAAAATGTTCCGGAAAAAATATTATTCTACTATTTTAAGTAGGAGTTTTTCTGTTAAGCAATGATTTCGTGCATGCAACATTCACTTTTAAGACTATTAGTACCAAATTTATTTCAAAACAAACACTTCTATTTTACAATTCAAACAGTATCTTTAGCAGCAGATACAATGGTAGGATACTATGTCATAGCGCACCTGCTGAATGCTCCCACCCGGACATTTTTTTTGCAGAAAATCCGTCGACTCGATGGTAAAAATACAATTGTATAATAAGAAAACGTAAGAATAACAAAAAATCATGTAGCGCACCAAAGAATGGCTATAGTACTTCAGATAATTGTAAAAGTTTATAGATTAATTGCCTGGTTAAGGCCTGAAAACGGGATAAGTGTTTTGCTCTGAATGCTCCAACTTGGACTTCTCCGAAACATATAAGAAATAAGGTTGAAATAGAGAAAAAGGAATCCCTTAAGAAAGCCCAAAGCGGCAAAATTGAAAATGTTGCAGGCTCGGTTTGATTGAGCCTGTTCATGGACGTTACTGGAAAGTGCAAGTTTCTTAAAAACCTTCTTGAAAATTATTTTTCCACGTACCGGAACATAAACCGAGTCATGTTTACACATTTTTCTAGATTGGTTTCAAATGTTTCTATTCAAAAGTCGGTTTTTAAAGTGTTTTTTATAAAAATGGAAAATGCTCCCACTTGGACTCGATTTCAGAGATGCTCCCACTCGGACCTAAATATATACAGTTTTTGAAAGCACATTGCTGTGTTAAGATAAAATATATTATTATTTAAATAAATCTTTATATTCAAGTCCATACACTCAGCAAAAATAGAAACATGACAGTGTATATTTTATTATTATTTTCAGGAAATCGATGACGGAAATGTAAAAACAATGTTGGGCATGAAAGAGAGATGCATGCACAACATTGATATGCATTTTGTTGTTTATTAATTATGTTTAAAATTGTTAAATCACGCTAGTTCTAAGGAAAGGGTCAAATTCAATTTATCAATTTTGTGGCTATAACATTTTGACTACGTGAAGATAGGTTTTAATCATTTCATTAACATTTAAAATGCATGCGATTTTCCCCTTTAATTCAATATCGGTTGTGGCTCTAAGTAGTGCGTCAATAGAATTGACGAAACGTTGAATAAGGTTATTTGGAAGATTGTTCCATTCCGCTATCAATGCATTTGTCAGGAGGATATTCTGTGGGGCATGATGTCGTCGGACATTTCTCCAAGCACATCCCAGATATGCTCTATCGGATTAATATCTGGAGACATTGCTGGCCATTGCATGGTATTGATGTTGGCTGCAGCTAAGCGAGCGCGAGTTATCCTCGCCGTGTGAGGACGGATGTTGTTTTGTTGAAACACAACTGGATCGTTTCTTTGCATAACGGAATAGCCTCGGCATCCAAGACTTCTGGGCGTTTAAGTTGCCGTGTATAACAATAAGCCGGGTCTTTTGTCCACCCATTATCCCGCCCAGTACCATGACACTTCCTACACCTTAACGATCATGCTGTCAGAGACATATAACACGCTTTCACCCTTTCGATGGTAATTTCTTACACAGCCGTCGGCATGACTGAGATTTTAACGAGACTCGTCTGCAAACAGGACAGTATTCCAGTCACGTCGCCGCCAGTGACGGTGCGCATGTGCCAACCTAATACGGGCCTGACGATGGCGTAAAGTAAGAATACCGCTTGTATATGGGCATCGCGCTCTAATCGGGCGTTGTTGTGTGCACAACCGATTGCGAATGGTTTGTGCAGTTACGTTAAACGCGGGCGCGGTCAAGGTCGTCGGTCTGAACATGTCACGCAAGTGAGTTAAAACAATTGCACGGTCGTCCCTTTGGGTAGTTGCCCTTGACCTTCCTGGCCTTGGACGATCGTGAAGATCTCGTGTAAGTACAATTTCAAGAACTGTGTTGCGACTGCAGTTAAACGTTCTACTCTTGTCAACAACAGATGTCCCTCCCAGTAGCATTCCTACTGCTTGATTTCTCTCTGCTTCTGATAAACGTTGCATTGTAAAAGCTCTCAATTTTAGGTGTGAATAACACTAAATTGTTACTGAACACAGGTACAGTGCCTTACATCACTGTCTGACATCGTTCAGCATGCAAGGGGTTCACATG